GGAGCTTGTATATTACACAAGATGCAGGATGGCATGAGGAAACCTATATCTCACGCATCTAGATCGTTGTTACCAGCAGAGAGGAATTATTCGCAAATTGAGAAAGAAGTGTTAGGCATAATATTCGTCATAACTCGCTTCCACAGATACATATATGGAAGAGAGTTTACTTTTCAAACTGACCATAAACCTCTTCTCACTATATTCGGATCGTAAAAATGACTACCAATTTACACAGCCAACAGACTTCTGAGATGGGGAACTATATTATTGAATTATAATTTCAAACCAGAGTTCCTACCGTCGAAGAAAATTGGTCATGTGGATGGATTATCTAGATTGGTACCTGAGAAATGCGAACCTCTGGAAGACTCAGTAATAGCGGCTTTGCGAGCCGAAAACGAAATTAGTAAAGTTCTAAACAATACAGTAAGGGAATTACTTATTAGAAATCCGAAGAGAAGCTGAAATGGATGAATTCATACAAAGTACAAAGAGAAAAATAGAAGAAAAAGAAAGAAATCTAGCGGAGTGTTTTTCAATTTGTAATCACGTATTACTTTATAATGAAAGAGTGGTCATACCCAAATCTTTACAAAGACGAATTCTGAAGGACTTTCATCTAGGACACCCAGGGAAAAATCGTATGAAAGCGTTAATGAGAAGTTTCGTGTATTGGCCTAATATGGATAAAGACATTACTCAAATGGTAGAAAAAAGTAGAGGCTGTGCTGCGGCAGCAAAGGCACCACCTATTATACAAAAACTATGGTGAACAGACCTTGGTCTAAAATCCATGCGGACTATGCAGGACCCATAGATGGATATTACTACTTGATAACGGTAAATAGCTTTAGCAAGTGGCCAGAATTTTTCAGATACAAAAACCCTACGACGGAAAACACTATTAATTGTCTACACGAGTTATTCGAAGCGACATTGAAGTGATACTGGTCGCTTGATCGGTACGAAAAGGTCACAGAGGCCAAGATTACCTGCGACATGTGTTCTGGCTTGCCGTTAGGTGCCTGAAAGGGCGTCGATCTTCCAGGCTCTCTAGCTGGAGAAAAACTTGATCAGAAGTACGTGCAAAGACCGGCTCGGCAGTCGAGATCTTATCGCCGAAGGAGGTTGTTCTTGAAGGGCAAAGCTGAGGCGTGTGCCGCTTACGTGTCCCGCTTACGTCTTTCCTCTTGTTCTTTACCACTTGTTCGCCCTCTCTGTAGGAAGCGTAAGAAAGTGATCTGGCGCTTGCTATCCTTTGTCTTGGGTCGGGAGAAGCAAGCATCACGTCGACAGAGAGGTCTGTGCCCAACGTCCGTGTCATGGGGAGGCTGGAAATACCGCACTTGGCGATTCACAAGCTCGCCCCAAGACTGTCTGTCCTATGTCGCACATTGACAGGGGGCTCGATTTTGGCGGGGTTTGTGAGGACCGCTTTCCTTTTACTTATTATTACTCCATCCATCTCACGGATTGAGCGCCTTAGTAAGCCCCGGGATCAATCTTTCGCGAGTGTCGATGCGGGTCATTCCTCGGTCCAGTGACCTTTCTCGGCCTTGGAAAATCTTCTGTCGCGAACTAGTGGGGTGGAGGTGCAAAGGATCCTCTAAGTGACCAGCTAGGCTTGTCGGCGGAAGAGTTTCGCTCCATTTGGTCTTGGACGTCAGCGGCAGATTACCTCAGCAACTCTGAGTTTTCGCTTACCTGGCTACTGGTTCGGAATAGGCTATCTCTCAATGACAGGGCCTTCATATGGGGCTTGGCGGATTTGCCATATTGTGAACAATGTGAGTTTGGCTAAGTGGAAACGGCTTCGCACGCCTTCTACCACTGCCCTCGGGTCCAACCCCTATGGGACCATGTCGGCGAGTTGATGGCTCGTATCGCTCCCGAAAAGCTCGTGCTCATTGATCGTGCATACGTTACAAATAACCAGGAGGTGTCATGTGACTTCAATTGGTACTGTGTGATTTGGACCTTCGATATGAGTTTTTATTTTTGACGATAAGGTTAGCTGTTTTAAATGAAATCTTATACGAACACAAAACAATGAATGAAAATCTTAATCCCTGTACTCGTCTTTAATGAAACTTGTATAAAAGAAGGATTGCGTCCCAAATACACATTATATATATATATATATATATATTATAAATTAATTGATTTAAAATATGTTTTTCCGCTACAGAGTTCTAACCATGTTTCAAAAAAAAAATGGAAGCTAAAAGCCCCGAATTTAATTTTGTAATTAAATTAAAGACATTAGTTCCATTTCCTCCTCAAGCGAATTTTTGGAGTAACTTTTAGCTTCCATTTTGAAACATGGTTAGAACTGTGTAGCGGAAAAAACATATTTTAAATCAATTAATTTATAATATATATATATATATATATATATATATATATATATATATATATACAATTGTGTATAATATTAATGCTTTGTAAATTTACATTGAGCACTATTTTGTAAAAATAAAATATCTATAAGAACACTGGATTATATATCTTACTGTTCTTTATATATATATATATATATATATATATATATATATATATATATATATATAAGGTTTCGGTATTATCTTAATTCTCCCTTTATCCGCAGGATAAGTGAGGATTACAGTCAGTCAAATTTACATGCTTTTCATCTCCTTACATAACATATTTACTCAGTTGAGCTTAGCAAATGGTCCAAGGACATTTTTGTTAGGCGACAACAGGGATCGAACCTACTGCAGTAACCGTTAAGACGTGCTTCGCATTTAACGCACTACGGTAGGCAACCATTCGCTTACATAACCGATTCAGATCGAGTAAAATAGCGAATTCAGAACACGTGAAGATATTGCAGCGAAAAGGGATTACCGGCAAATCCATATTTATCTCATCTTTATGACGTCTATTTTACCTGCGTGAGAGTGGCCTGCCTAAAGATTAAACAAAACACTTGTACGAAAAGGTTCATTGATTTTTTCTTTCTTCGTCTGTCTCAGCGATTCTCAAACGGGAGCCACTTGCCTCCCAGAGAAAATATTTTGTGGGGATTACCCCCACTATGTCTGCTAGTTGGCATCCTTTCAAGACGGGACAATAAACACCTTTCTCTCTTTTTTGTTCCGGAATGTGTTAGCGAAAATAACAGGAGGAGATTTATTTCCCCGGCAGGCCGTCTTCTTAATTTCACCCAACCACTTGGCGTATCACAAGCACACACATATTAACTTTAAATCCTATAAGTATTTTTTTCCTTTTTCATGCGTATGCACAAGTATATTTTCTGTTTTTTTTTTAATTATTTTTATTCTTTTTATAAATATATGTAAAATTACTCTACGTTTTGAAATTCGTTTATTTTCTGAAAATGTTCGTTTGAACATTTCCAACTGTTGTGGTAGGATCTACCTAATTTGCATAGTGGAGTACCGACCATATAAATATGGTTGGTACCGGAAGACGAGGAAGGAATCAAGAGATTCCATCCAGAGACTCTGCCCGACTGCGACTAAGTCAACACATTCTCCAGGAACGGTCTTCCCAAGAATATACAAAAAGACTATATGTAAATATTGTGTACACTTTCTTGTTTCAATACATTTTGTTCTAAAGTACATTTTTTGTTGTATTATTATTCCATGCATTAGTCAAGTTTCAACACCAACCTCTGCTAGCATAATGTGCATCCATCGGCGGCTACAAATTGGTGACCAACAGCAACGTCATTCATGAAAAAATATGGTAGTATCTAACTGGTATAATTTACAAATCTGAATAGAGTAATTTTGTCGATAGGAAGAATTGGGGAAGAATTTCACATCATATATATCTCTATCTATAAAAGGCAGGATGTGTGTGTGTGTGTGTGTGTGTGTGTGTGTGTGTGTGTGTGTGTGTGTGTGTGTGTGTGTGTGTGTAACGAATGCAGGCCGCAATTCTCGACGGATATGCACCAAAATTTACATGTAGGTGCTCCAAGTTAGTAGGAAGGCCAAGACCAACTTTGCATTTCCCAACTCCCATCAATAGTGGAATTAATCGATTTTTTCATGCTTCTACGGCAGTTTTCATGTAGTTTGTGGCCATTTTCTTCTCGCCAGAGTGAGAGCCTATAGCTGGCTGCCACGAATAGGCAGGAAGATTCTATTGGACAGCGTGAGAGCCAACAGCTGACTGACACGAATGTTAACTAGCATGCTAGCATGCAAAAATAAATCGATAGCTGCATTCGTCACAATTGGGAAAAATTTAAATCTGCATGGCACTTTACTCCAATTGGCTCATTCGCTTGCTTAAACTCAACGTTGATTCTGATTCCGCAGAACTGGGTTGGGTGTGAAAAAAGTATTTGTTGTTAACATTCTTTTTTAATTTGGTTTTTCCAGTTACGATTCCTTTTTTAAATTTGATCGTTTTGTGTTCATTTTGTTTAGTTCTTTTTTCGTAACAGATTTAATGTTTAGTATAGAGCTTAGAAAAAATTCGCAGTGTGAGATAGACAAGAAGTAAGGCATGTAGCAACATCAGCACGGCAAAGGGCACACCTTTAAAGGCAAGGAAGGGCAAAAATATTTTAAGTCAAGTGATAGCGATTGCTGTATGAGTCGTACGATTTTTGAATCAAGCACGGGCAACGCCGGGCCATGCTGCTAGTATCTTAAAAAATAAAAACAAACTGAATCATAATAATATCACGAAACTAATTCTTATTTTGTAACAATAAAAACTCACATCGAAGATTCAAATTTTAGAGAAGTAAATATTATTAATGAATTCACATGACACCTCCTGATTATTTTTGGTGAGGGGGGATTACTTAAGGCGGTGGGTACGGATTGCAGACAATGAAGTACCTCAAGGATAGCACATTATATTTCACTGAAAGTTGGAGCAAGAAAAAAAGAAAGAAAGAAAGAAAGAAAGCCACACATAGAAAAAGAAAGAAAAAACAGGAAAGAAAAAAGGAAAGCGAAGGAAAGAGAGGAAGGAAGAAAGAAAAATTAAGGAAAGAAAAGAAGAAAGAAAGAAAGAAAGAAAGAAAGAAGAAAAGTGTGAATGCAAGGAATCAAGACGGGAGAGAAGAAAAAGTGAAAATTACAGAAACAAAGTGAATTGGAAAAAAGAGAAATAAAACGAAAAAGGAAAAAGTAAAAGAGAGAGAGGGGGGGGGAAGAAGAAAGAAAGAAAAAGTATCCATAAATAAAGAAATCGATAAAAAAAATATGAAAAGCAAGCAAAAAAAAAACAAAAAAGAAAAAAGACAAAGAAGGGAAGGCGGAAAAAGAAAGAAAGAAAAAGAAAGGAAGAAAGAAAGAAACAGAAAATAGAAAGAAAGAAAGAAAGAAAGAAAGAATGAAGGAAAGAAAACGAAAAAGAAATAAAAAAGAAAGAAAGAAAGAAAGAAAGAAAAAGAAAGTTATGTAAAAAGAAAGAAAGGGAAAAATAAGAAGAACCAGATAGAAAAAAAAAGAAAGAAAAGTGTGAAAGAAAAAAAGAATGTAAGAAATAAAGACGAGACATGCAGAAATAAGAAAATGGAAGAAGAAAAAATAGAAAGAAAAAGAAAAGCTAAAAAGAAAGATAAAAGACGAGATAGAAAGAAGGAAAAAGAGAATGAAAGAAAGAAAGAAAGAAAGAAAAAGAAAAAAGAAAGAAAGAAAGAAAAAGAAAAAAGAAAGAAAAAAGAAAGTAAGAAAGAAAGAAAAAAAAGAAAATAAGAAAAAGAAAAAAGAAAAAAGAAAGAAAGTAAGAATGAAAGAAAGAAAAAGAAAGGAAGAAAGAAAGAAACAGAAAATAGAAAGAAAGAAAGAAGAAGAAAGAAAGAATGAAGGAAAGAAAAAGAAAAAAGAAAGAAAGAAAGTAAGAAAGACAGAAAGATAGAAATAAAAAAGAAAGAAAGAAAAAAGAAAGAAAGTTAAAGCATGATATAAAAGCAAAAAAAGAAAAAAATCGAAAAATAACGAAAAAAAAGTGGTAAAAGAAAGAAAAGTGTGATAGAAAGAATGTAAGAAAAAATAGACAAGACATGCGGAAATATGTAAAGGGAAGAAGAAAAAATAGAAATAAAAAAAGCTAAAAAGAAAGATAAAGACGTGACAGAAAGAAGGAAAAAGATAAAGAAAGAAAGAAAGAAAGAGCATGATATAAAAAGAAAGAAAGAAAGAAAGAAAGAAAGAAAAGTGTGAAAGAAATAAATCAAAAGGAGAAAACAAAGGAGAAACACAGAGAAAGAAGAAAAGAGAAGAAGAAATAACGAGAAATAAAAAAGAAAAAGCTAAAAGAAAAAATAAAAATGTGAAAGAAAGAAAAGAAGAAAAGGTAAGGTATGCAAAAATAAAGACAGCGAAAAAGAATAAAAAAGGGAAAAGAAATAAAGAAAGATAAATGAAAAAGGAAGAAAGAATGAAGAAAAATGGCAGGGCATAGAGAAAGATGAAAAGCAAAGGTTAAAAAGGAGAAATGAAAAAGAAACGACTAAAAAAAAAAGAAATAAAGCGAGCAGAAAGAAGGAAAAAGAAAGAAAGAACGACGCAGAAGGGTTTGCAAACATAAACAAAGAGAAAAAGATGGAAAAACAAAAAGAAAAAAGAAAGAAAAGGACAAAAAATAGAAAACCGTGAAAGAAAGAATGAAGGAATGAAAAGACGATGCTTATAGAAGTAAGCAAAGTGAAGAAAAGAAAAATAAATAAAAAGAAAAGCTGGAAAGAAAGACGAGTTAGAAAAAAGGAAGAAAGAGAACGACAGAATACAAGAAAGAAAGAAAGAAAGAAAGAAAGAAAAATCAAGTTATGGAAAAAAAAAGAAAGCGAAAAAAATTGAAAAACTAGAAAGAAAGAAAGAAAGAAAGAAGAAAGGAATGAAAGAAAAATCAAGGTATGGAAAAATAAAGAAAGCGAAAAAGACTGAAAAACTAGAAATAAATAAGTAAAGAGAGAATGAAAGAAAAAAGAAAGAAAAAGAAAGGTAGAAAAAAACTATAGAAAGCGAAAAGAAATGAAAAATTAGAAAGAAAGAAAGAAAGAAAGAAAGGAATGAAAGAAAGAAAGAATAGATTGGAGAAAGAAGAAAGGAAGAGAGAAAAAAAGAACGGAAAAAGGAAGAAGTGACGTTAAAAAGAAAGAAAGAAAGAAAAGAAAAGAAAAGAAAGAAAGAAAGAAAGAAAATCAAGTTATGGAAAAAAAAAAAAGGAAAAAAAATTGAAAAACTAGAAAAGAAAGAAAAAGAAAAGAAAAGAAGAAAAATGGAGAAAAAATCAAAGGTATGGAAAAAATAAAAGAAAGCGAAAAAAGACTGAAAACTAGAAATAAATAAGTAAAGAGAGAAATGAAAGAAAAAAAAAGAAAAAGAAAAGGTAAAAAAACTAAAAGCGAAAAGAAATGAAAAATTAGAAAGAAAGAAAGAAAGAAAGAAAGGAATGAGAGAAAGAAAGAATAGATTGGAGAAAGGAAGAAAGGAAGAGAGAAAATAAAAGAACGGAAAAAGGAAGAAGTGACGTTAAAGAAAGAAAGAAAGAAAGAAAGAAAGAAAGAAAGAAAGAAAGAATAGATTGGAGAAAGGAAGAAGTGAGGTGAAAGAAAGAAAGAAATAAAGAAAAAAGAAAGAAAGAAAGAAAGAAAGAAAGAATAGATTGGAGAAAGGAAGAAGTGAGGTGAAAGAAAGAAAAAGAAATGAAAGAAAAGAAAGAAAGAAAGAAAGAATAGATTGGAGAAAGGAAGAAGTGAGGTGAAAGAAAGAAAGAAAGAAAGAAAGAAAAGAAAGAAAGAAAAGAAAGAAAAAGAAAAAGTCTGAAACGGTAAGCGAATCTATCTACTCTTGGTAGGTTGCTCTTGTGTAACGTGCTGGGTGACCAGTAGTGTAAAAAAAATAACACACATGCGCATGTATATACATATAGATATTTCGCCAGTTTACTAATTTTTAAAAAAGAATTCTAATCTTTTTTTTATTTATTATAAAACCTGATTATTATTAGCGGATATGTTTTCCAGGAAATATTTGACGCTAGCAAAAAGTTGATTGTTAACTATATAGGTCAACGTGTTACTTAATTCAGGGATTGGTGGTATTTTGTACCCCCCCTCCCTACACAGCACCTTGATCGATTGTGACGTTACGAAAGGTTAACACACCTCTCAAAACGAGAAAAACAACAGCCGTGCTTCACGGCTGTAGTACGCTAGATTTACTTACACAGACACTTTGACAGACGGCATCTTGTTTTTTTTTCACTGAGAGTGACCGTGTCTGACACAAGGCTATAATAGTGCAGAGCCCGAAAAAATCAAACATTAGGACTTCCTGATATGATCTGATCATATTCACTTTATGCATTTGAAAATAAAAAAAATACATCCATTTCTACTGTTCTACCGGCGGTTGCCTCGAGAAAAATTCCCAAAAGAAACATTATATAGTTTAACCCACCGTACAACAATACATAAAGACAAACGTAGAAGAAATACTCATTAAACTTATCGACAAATACTCCTCCTATCAAGCACTCTCGGCAAGATACACAGTACAAATCACCTAAAATGGGTACAGGGAACATAACACAAATAATGAAAAAGCATAACAGAAAAATAACCAACAAATCACCCACGCAAAACAAACCTATCTGTAACTATCGAGAAAAACATGAATGCCCCTTAAACGGCATTTGCCTGCAAAGCAATATAATATACCAAGCTACTGTAAAAACAGCAAACAACGAAGTAAGAAAGGTGTCATAAGAGGGATAGAAGAAAAGGCTAGCTCGCGAATCCGAGAGGTGACAAAAGACAGATTTAATGAAGAAGCTAATAATGGAAGAGAGATATAGAACCGATAGGGAGATAGAGATAGAAGAACTGGCGAAAACAGAGAGGTGGCGAAATACAGAACTAAATAGAGAAACAAGAAGAGAGAGAGAGAGAGAAATGACAGAAAAGAGTGCTGGAGAAAGAACAAACGAAAGAGTGGTAACAAAAAAGAGAGAGATGGCAAAAGACACAACTAAAGAAAGAGAGGGAGTGAGGGTAGTTCGTTACAACGTGAGTAGCATGGTGGGTCTTAGTTGTAAAGGGTAGATCCAGTGGAACTAAGGAATGCAGTTCGTTTGAACAATTTCCATGGAAAAAGGATTGCAATGTAAATAGAGTGTAAGGTAAAAAACAACATATCACCCACAATTTCACGAAGACTTTTTTTGGATTCTGTCACATCTGGGGAGGGAAGACTGGGTAGCGCCTATTCATGTATGGCAGCAGTACTTCTTTTTCTGCCTGATCTGGTTCTTGTAAAGGTATGATAGCAGGAGCTGCCAGGTGCTTACTGCTGCTGTACAGGAAACCGACCATTTTTCAAGCATCTTATATAGAGTGGATCATATGTACGAGTCCCACTTGATATCTGGTGTGATGTTGAGTCTCAATAGACGCTCAAGACACGCAGCCTCCCCGAGAGAATATGCGTTTATTAAGTACTAAAAGTAAATTTTGCTTTTACACTATTTGGACAATTTTGTTGTTAAATGATTTGGACAATTTTGCTGTTACACGATTTGGACAATTTTGCTGCTACACGATTTGGACAATTTTGCTGCTACATGATTTGGACAATCTTGCTGTTACACGATTTGGACAATTTTGCTGTTACACGATTTGGACAATTTTGCTGCTACATCCAGTTTACGTTTATCTCGCGATATAAAAGTAGCGCCCCGTTTCGTCCAAATTCATTCCTTTGGTTCTGAGAATAGAGTGACCTCTCCAAGGCGAAGGCCTGGGCGCTGCCTAGACTATATACACTCCACTCACGGGCTGACCAACTAGATCGAAAGGTAAACAGGGCATTACATTATTGGCCGGTTTGGCTGCAGGAGTTGCCGGAAATGTTGACAGCCAACGACCTTCACAGCTCCACTCCTGGTTTACTGGATGAAGTTACATCCATAACCTTTTTCCCTGTTTGGATATGACCGCAAGGCTGCGGAGGTTTAAAATCAGGGTCTTCCCCTAGCTAGATTTACTCCCGGGGCTGTCAAGCTTCATTTACCAAAAAAGAAAAAAGTTAGTTAAAAGGCGCGAGTTAAACACCTTCGCCCATTTTCTGACTTAATCTGGACTGGACTTAATTGTCGGAGTCTATTTGAGACGCATGCTACGGAAGCATTTTATAGACTGTGGGCTTGTCCCCACTATTACCCGCGGCTATGACAACCTTTGGAACATAAGGTGGTAAAGTAATCGGGAGTAATCCCCCTTGTTTTATGATTATCTCCCTTTGCATTTTTATTTTCTTATTTCATAAAACACACACACACACACACACACACACACACACACACACACACACACACATATATATATATATATATATATATTGTATTTTGGCAGCAATCCTTCATTTATACACGTTTCATTAAAAACGATAGAGAATGTACTACCGTTAAGATTTTTATTTAATTTTTCTTGTGTTCGAACAAGTTGTTGTTTTATGATTATCTCCCTTTAGAGAGATCTTTCGTTTGTAGAGGACTATAAATAGTCACTACGATTGGATCACTTATTCTAAGCAGGATAAAGATTCTTTAAGCTTTTTTTTGCTTTCTTTTGTCTTTAAGCATATATAACGTTATCATAAAGCAAGAAAAATTACGATAAAGTCGTACATAAATAAACAAATACAAATATTGAAAACTTTGTTAATTTTCAAAAAGCAGAGAGAAAAAAATGAAAATATAAATCGGGATTTAAGCCTAAGAGATTATTAAGTCATTATACAAGAAAATAATTTATATTGCCTTTTTGACAGTACTTAGGTAACGCATACTTAATACTTTAAAATTGTCCAATAGTGTTATAAAAACGTCGGAAGAGTCCAGTAAGTTATCTTTAATCATTTGTAAGTGACAACGGTTCAAAGCTTAATCTAACAAATGGACAATTTTGCTGTTACACGATTTGGACAATTCTGCTGTTACACGATTTGAACAATTTTGCTGTTACACACAGTAAATTTTGCTTTTACACTATTTGGGCAATTTTGCTGTTAAATGATTTGGAAAAATTTTGCTGTTACACAATTTGGACAATTTTGCTGTTACACCCAGTAAATTTTGCTTTTACCCTATTTGGACAATTTTGCTGTTAAATGATTTGGAAAAATTTTGCTGTTACACAATTTGGACAATTTTGCTGTTACACCCAGTAAATTTTGCTTTTACACTATTTGGACAATTTTGCTGTTAAATGATTTGGAAAAATTTTGCTGTTACACAATTTGGACAATTTTGCTGTTACACCCAGTAAATTTTGCTTTTACACTATTTGGACAATTTTGCTGTTAAATGATTTGGAAAAATTTTGCTGTTACACAATTTGGACAATTTTGCTGTTATACCCAGTATATCAATATTGTATTATTATTTATGTCACCTGTACGACAACAGAAATAAGATAAAAAAAAAGCAAATGGAACAGCATCAAAAGACTACCTAAATTTTATAATCAATTAAACGTTGTTTTATTATAGTTTTAATGATTTGGCCAGTGGCTAAAAAGGAAAGAACACAAAGACTTACTGATAAGAAATTAAAATAAATACTTCAGTCGGGAGTTGCTGGGTTTTTGAGGTATAGTTTTTACTTGTCAGTTCAATGAATGGTAGTAAACGGGTTGCTCAGAAGCAGATTACTACAACAACTGACTTCGCCAGCCAACTCGCGTAATTTTAGCGCCAACCAACGAATACGAATATCCGCATGAAAGAACTTCACTTCGTAAGGTCAACCGATCACATCAAAGAGGTCTTTGAAATCGTTTATCTAAATGATACAAAACTCGGAGAAGTTTCATTCATAAAAAATAGATTTTCTTAACATATATCAATATTATAAATATTATATTATATATACTAGCCGAATTACCCGCACCTTGCTGCGTGTCACGCATTTTTTGTAAGAAAATGATGACTGTTCGGCCCATAATAACATAATGGACTATTCCATACGTAATGAATACTGTGCCTCAAGAGGAAGCAGGGAGTTCAACCCGAAGTCGGGCGACCGGCTGATCGATTAAACTCTCTGCCTTCGGGCGGGGAGGAACCCGAACGAGGCTACGTCGAAGGGCGGAGTCTCTTTCGGGGAGGTAAACCGACCCAGAACCCGTTTATACGGGTTCAAAGGGCATATTTTTGGCCGAGACCGGCCAGCTCGGAGATCCCACTGGCTCGGAGATCCCACGGGCTCGGAGATCCCACGTTAAACCGGCCTTGTGCCACATGATTCCCTCGTGGGGGTGGGGGTGACTAAATACTGTTCAGTCTGAAGTCTGGAGTGAAGTCCGTCAGGAGTCAGTCAGTCAGTCAGTCAGTCAGTCAGAGCGAGCGAGTCAGTCAGTCGAGTCAGAGGCAGTCCGAAACAGAGTCGCGTTCAGACAATTACTACTAAACCTAATTGCTCGTACTAACATTTTCTACTTCTCTGTATATATTCCTGTTTGTAATATATCTGTGTTATTCCTTATCCGCCTTCGAGTTCTTCTTTATTGGTTCTACCTTGGACTATCACCGTGGTACAAGGAACCGGACCACAACAATGACTGATTTTAAATCATTGTTATAATTTGTGGAGAGAAATGATGCATTTCAATATTACTCAATGATCTTGCCGATGTGACCTCCATCTTCTGACTTTCTCCTTCTATATTTTGGATAGGAGTCATTCCCTTGTTCAAATTTAAATTTAATTTAAATCAAAGCGAAAAAAAAGTTTCGCTCTGGGGAAGGGACAAAAACAGCTTGATCTAGCCCCTTTGATATGTATTTGATGCAATACTTGATTGAATGAATTGATGAACAGATTTCGACATTGAAATGACAGTTGAATTATCGCAACAAATATGTACTGTAAGGCACTATCTACTGATTAGCGATTTATTGCTCAACTTGACGTCCATATTGTCTCATTTTGATCTTGCCTATGTGACCTCCATCTTCTGGCTTTCTCCTTCTATATTTTAGATAGGAGTCATTGTTTTGTTTAAATTTAAATTTAATTTAAATCAAAGGTTAAAAAAATCAGTGTGGGGACGGGTACCACCGGGGATCCCATTTGATCAAAATGAAATATACTCATCCAAGTGTCCTGGATAATGTAGTTTCAGAATATATATGGTTATGAGGGGTCCATCTCCAAACCCTAAGAGGACAGAGGATACAACTTCATATATATATATATATATATATATATATATATATATATATATATATATATATATATATAATGTTAGTGGAAAATATACATACATATGCAAAATATATAAATACCCATACATGTATATCTTTAGAAAAAAATATACATACATATGCAAAATATATAAATACCCATACATGTATATCTTTAGAAAAAAAAAATCCAAGAGGAAGAATCCAGGTAGAACTCAATGTCTAGGACAGAGTGAGGATAATAAAAAAGGCTTAAACACTAATATTCCATGGTCATAATTTATTCCATTGGAATCGTAAATACGATCCAATTCATCAGACCTACAAATTCAAAAAAAAAAAAAAAATACAAACATTTGAATTTGTAGGTCTGATGAATTGATCGTATTTACGATTCCAATGGAATAAATTATGACCATGGAATATTAGTGTTTAATATTTTTTTATTATATATATATATATATATATATATATATATATATATATATATATATAAATATACATTTTGATGTCAACATTTGACACGACAGACTGTTTCATGCTAGACGCAATCGTCAGGCCACGATTGTGTCTTGCATGAAACACCCTGTCGCCTCTAAGTGTTGACTTCAGTTTTCACTTTATATTTACACACTCTATTTCTGATATTGTTAATTTATCCCATAAATATAGCACACATAAGGTATATATATATATATATATATATATATATATATATATATATATATATATATATATTAAGTATTGGTTTATGTGTAGCTTCTTGCGTAGCGTTCGTGAATTTGTCGAACTACCGCACCTGTTAGCATAGAACACACGATTACATGTTTAACCTATAAATGGTGAGACCTTGCCGCCAATCTAGTACTGCATTTAAATTCATAAAATCTAGGTAGCGTTGAGTAAAGTTCATTAGAACAATTACCATGAAAATATTTATAGGAAACGCATAGGGAAACTACGTTACGTCAGTAGGAAAGTGATTGAAGCCGAGATGCCAGGTCAGGACCAATATCATTGCAGACTCTTCTTTTGGATTTTATCAACAATCTCTAGATATACCGAAAAGCAGCAGAGCAGATGTGTCTGCATTATTCAATGCGTAGCGAATGGTAGACTTATAAATGTGTAAGCTAGATTCTAGTGAAAAAAAAATGTCTACCACGACACAGTGAACCAACTTTCCTAGCAACAGATATAGCTGTTGATTCAATATAATCTTTAAACTTAATGCCAACGGAAAACATTGGCCCGAGAAAGCGCAATGAGTCACTCTTCTAGAGAATGGCATTAACCATTCCGATGGAAGAAAAAATGGATTATTTCAGACGATTAAGATGGAAGAAAAAATGGATTATTTCAGACGATTAAGAGAGAGAGAGAGAGAGAGAGCGGTGTCGTCTGTGAAAAATTGTTTCAGAGATAAATAATACCAAGAATTTTTTCCGTCCCATAGCATGTTCGATCTCAGGCTAGGGCAGTGCAAAAAGTCAGTATTCTCTGTATTAGTGGAGAAAGACCGATAACCGACTTCATAAGGACGAATTAAGTAAAAAGAGTTAACGAACATGAGTTATCTCCCCTAGTACGGGATCGGCAAAATCTACATTCGGTGTGTGAATAAATGATGTTAACTATCATTTGTGTTATCTTTTTCTCAAAAACTTCATCATTGGACATGTAAGCAATCCTTCTATAGAATCACATTTTTTTAGTTTCCAGACTCTTCTTCATCTGCGATGTCAAAGTCCAGCATTCACTGCCATATAAGAGGACTGATAGTACGTAAAAGTTCAGAACCCTTTCCTTTTTTTCTTCTAACGAAATGTTCCTGTTTCTTAATACGCTGCTTAGCTTTTGGAAAGCATCTTTCGCCAGCCCAATGCACCTTCGGAATTGATGTTGCACTTTGCGTCCGCTGTTAAAAAAAACTTCCCTGATATTTAAATGTTTACACTTGTTTGATTTTGGTATCTCCAATTTGTAATTTGCATGTTGGGTTGTCCCTTTTGTTAGCAAACATAGATTCTGCCTTCTTTCAATTGGTGTTTAGTCCTTTCTTCTCGCTTTCCTTCACTACATTTCGTTGAAGTTTTTGTAGTTTCAATTTCTGTGTCTGCTATCAACATTTTGTCAATATTGTTGCTAAGATTGTGTCCGCCAATATTGAGAATTGCCTCAGTGTATAGATTGAATAAGTCCGGTGAGAAGTCATATCCTTGTCTTTCTATTTTATATATTTGCTCAATTCCTTTTCTATCCGTATACTGGTGGTAGTTTTTTTTTTTTTTTTTTGCCAGTGTAGGTTCTGGATTATTCTAATGTCCTTCCCAAAGATGTCAAGCAAGTTTACCTAACATTTACAGCAGTTCTTTGTGACGTATACAGACTATGCAAAAGCGTTTGATGGTATTTATCAATTCACCCACAGGAATTGAATGTGGCACAAGGCCTTTTTAATGTGGGTATGTCCGAGCCCGTAGGCCCAGCCAAAAATAAAACCCATCTAAACCCGTCCAAGCGGGCTAGTTCCGTCAACCTCCCCGAACGAAACCCTACCCTTCGGCGGAGCTTCGTCCGGGTTCCTCTCTGCAAGCAGAGAGTTCGACAGACACCCGGCTCGGCAGCCCACAAAGCGCAGATACTACACTTTGATCCTAGCCACCGGGCCGAGCGGGTATTCTTTTTTTAGATACACAGGTAGACATTCGTCTTCATTTGTCAAGAGGAATTAATTAGGAAGAATTAACCAACACGAGTTATCTCCCCTAGGGTAATTTTCAGAAAAAGGTCGGTGGATGAAATTTCAGAAGAAGGTCGCAGGTAACGTTGCAGCATTATCAACCAAGATAAGAGTTTAAGGTCGTTTACGTGGCCTTGTGGGGGAAATAATTATTTCACACCTTGAAGCACCTTTCTCACAGACGCGATGTCGTAAAAAAAACAACTCTATCATCATCATCATCATCGTCCCCTTGACTTTTGTAACCGTAGGGCGGATCCGAATGCAGAAGCCACACTAACTCATTTCCACAACGGTCTATTAACGGCAGCCATCAGTAATTCTGGTACAGTCATACCTGTCCGTTGTTTGACATCGTCGAACCAGTTTTTGCGTTGGCGTCCTTTCCTCCAACAGTGCCTTGCATAATGGTCTTGCACAGGCTGTCGTGCCTTGTAATGTGTCCAAACCACGCCATTTTTCTCAGTTTGACAGCAGCGAGAAGTGGATTATGAAGCAAGAGAAACTCGATCACTACAAATGTTCAGTCGAGCTTCATTCTACTAATTCAGATCTTCACAGTTAAGACTCGCCTTGTTACGCCCACAGGACCGAATCGGCCTCATTACCCCCGTATTTCATTGGTTTCAGTCAGACAGCTTCTTTACAAGTCTGTGCAACAATCTCTCGTGTGGATTCTTCTCATAACACTACAATCTTAATCTCTTCAAGTCTAGAATTAATTGTAATCTATCCTCTGTGCCCTCATAATCTTCGATTCTTAATTCATTTTACGTCCATACTAATACTTTACATTGAGGGGCTCTTGTGCCTTGGACTGGGTGAGGATTAGTAAAAAGAAAAATTAATCCTGACATTGAGAGTGTAATAATGATAATTCTTATTCTTTCCTTTTCCTTTTCTTTTTCTCTTTCTTTTCTTTTCTTTTCTTCTCTTCTATTCTGCAATAATGGTATTTCTTATTCTTTTTCTTTTCTTCTCTTTTTCTTTTCTTTTCTAGTCTGTAATAATGGTATTTCTTATTCTAAAAAGTTCAGGGGGAACATTACATTATGAATCTCCACGGATTCGTAAAAAATGAGAATACCATGATGGAAAAATGTCCCAAACGAAGTTTTATCGCCAAAATCTTTATGTTATTATTAAGAGGAAAGGCGAAAGGATTTTTTGATTATTAAATTATATTTTTATTTCCTTTTTAGAACGTTCGAAATTCTGGTTAAAAATCTTGGTTTTCTTAGGTCAGCAGGGGACCAAAGATCAGTATAAGAAATTTTAGCGTCTTTGTTTTTTGCGATGAAATACACTGATTTGTAAATTCTTGCAAAAATCAAATAATTGTCGGATTTTAATTAACTTTTCGAGACTTATTCACAAATGATTGAAATTATTCTAGAATTTAAAAAAAAAAAATCACGTTAAAATGTTATTTTTTTTTACATCTGTTACACCCCCTATTTAATTTTATGAAATGTCGAAAAATTAATTTTTGCACCGCTTAATGCTTATATTGATTATACACAGAACCCCGAAGAGAATGTAAATCCCCATTTTTTTTTGTAAAACAAGGCGCTACCCCAGTTGCCGAAAATCTGCTTTGAATCTTATTATAAAACGCAGATTGTATGTGTGTGTGTGTGTACGTTTATATATTGGATCGGATTTCTTACATTTTTCAACCGATTTCAACAAAACTTCACAAGACTACGTAAAATTACCTTGCGGTGGTTCTGACAGCGCCAAAAACTGGATAAACACAATTGTTTTTGCACGAAATCAATTTGAAAACATGATTAAGAGGCATTAATGAAAGGGGGACAACTCATATCGAGTTATACTTATTAATATCGAGTTATACTTATTATAAAACCCAGGTTGTGTGTGTGTGTGTGTTCGTTTATATATGGGATCGGATTTCCTACATTTTTCAACCGATTTCAACAAAACTTCACTTTTTTTTTTTGGCAGGTAGTGTTTCTTATTGTCTTGCACACTTTTTTTCTTTATTTTACATTCAGAATGCTTTAAAAATTCCATTTACAAGACAATTGTTTATAATAAAATTCTATTCAATCGGTAGACTCATAACGACCAATTCTTAAAAAAAAACAAAAAACAAAAACTAATTAAGACATGCGTGTCCGTCAACCTTAAACAATAATCTTTGTCAATTTTATTTTTCAGTCTTTATGATGGTCGATACTTGATCTATCTCTTACTGTTACATCCCCGGGCAACGCCGGGCTCTACTGCTAGTCATAAAATAAAAAATGCAAGAAAACGAAGACATTATTTAAGTAGAAAAGCTTTCAATTGCGTTTATGAATTATAGGACAGTATTGTTTTAAGAATTTTTTCGATGAATATTGAAGTTTTAAGAGAAATGTTTTCATTTTTAAAATTTCAATGGGAATAATTTATAAAGTTTTAAATCTTTTAAATTTCTGTATAAATTTGTACCGGTTAGGTGATATTGTTATCTATTAAAAACTATATTTGTAGGAGAAAGAAAAAATAAATAAATGATGATGGGGAGGGGGGGGTAAAAAAATGCAGTGCATCGCTCGCCGACAGGCCAGCTATTTTTTTTTATTCTTCGGTCGCCTCAAGGAAATGAATTGTCAAGAGGAATTAATTAGGATGATTTCAACAAAACTTCACTTCTTTTTTTGGCAGGTAGTGTTTTTTATTGTCTTGCACACTTGCCTTTGTGTGTGTGTGTGTGAGTTGGTGTCTGTTTCCCAACTGCCCGTTACACTGGACAGTTGGGAAACAGACACCAACTCAGCCACGCCTACTTCAACTTCCTCTTTATCCGTCTGTCAATCCGTACGTCCAACTCTATTACACGCAGTCCGCCGAATGACTCCTTGACGCTTGGTGCTGCTGGCACCCCACTTTTTATGCTATTCCAAGACGGCCAAAATTTGCATGTGTGCAAATATCGTCACGTTTTGGACGAGATAGGCGCGCATAAATTGCGTCTTCGATAGCGGCCATATTTCTTTTTGTCATCGCTTTGCAGGCAAGACACGTTCGCGCTCGTTTCGAATTCTGAGGTAAGTCATATCTTTCCTCACAATATTTAATAATCATAAATGGGAAAGCTTACAACAATTCAGTAACCCACAATATTTAAAAAAAGACTTTTTTATTTTTTTGTATATGTTAAACCGTGCCGATTTTTGTAAATATGGATGTCAATACACGACATTATCAGAAAATGAGAGCAGTAACTATAGTTAATGTAAAGCCAATGTACTTAAATTTCAATAAAACATTAGGTGATGGAGGATATTTTTCAAAATTTTAAGATTACTGAGTAGTTTAAAATAATATAAAAAAGGTGTTGACGTTATATTCTTCAAGTAATTTTCAAAGATCTGACCCCCGTAGAAAACAATGAGATAAAATTCTGGCTGTCAGTCAAGCCTTCAACCTGTCAACAACTTAATTAAACACCTGCCTCCGTGTTAAAAATTCATTTCTACGATATTATAACTAAAGTTTATTAATTTTTGTTTCAAAGCAAATTAATATTTCCCAAATAAAGTTTCAGAAAAGATTTTATTTTTGAATTTTTAAGACTTTTTAACAAAGAGAATTACATTCTGATGACAATTCTTTATTTCTCTTGCTTCAAGTCTCCTCTTCATCTGTAAAGAAATTGTTCAGCATTCACTGCTATATAGGAGGATTAATATTATATAGCAGTT